TTTCTGGTACGATCTGAAATCCCTGTCGAACAAAAAATAAAACACGCCCTCTTTTATCCGGTTAGTAGAGAGCAAGGCTGTTAAACTTATTTTAAAGGTGTTTATTTCACGATAACTTGGTTATTAAACATCGAATTTTAAGCATATCTTGTAAAAGAGGTGACGACGAAATGAATAATACACTTTCCAACACACTAACCAGCGAAAAACCAATAAGTATGAATTGAAGAGCACATAAATTAAAGACTAAACAGCAGATGTTATCATTGAACCAAACAATAGATGTACAATAAACAGTAGTGAAGTAAAGTGCAAAACCAAATTAATATTTTATTCCAAGTAATCACAAAGGTGGTCGGAGTTGAACTGTGTACTTATCCCGTTTTGGGATGTCCAAATCAATATTTTATGATTACAGATAATATATCTTAATAAATAAATATGTTAGAGTTTAATTAGAATAGGGTTGTGCTTTTGTAATTACAAATAATTAACAAGTGTATTTAGAATAGGTCTCTACTTTTACACCACTATATAAACAAGCCACCCAAGTAACTTCTCCTTCAAAGTCCCAAGTAACTTCTCCTTCAACGTCTACTCTCCTTCAAAGTCAAAACAAAAGCAGCATGGCAAGTTTTGTTTCCTCGGCTATTATCCTCCTCTTCATGTTCTTTCCCATCGTCATTCCCCTGCCCCTGTCAACGAATTCACGTTGGATTGTTGATGAGGGAGGACGACGTGTGAAGCTGGCGTGCGTGAACTGGTCGGCTCACTCGGAACTGATGGTTGCCGAAGGGCTCAGCAAGCAGCCTATGGATACGATCGCCAAACGGATTGCGTAGATGGGATTCAACTGCGTCAGGTACACTTGGCCGGTCTATCTGATCACCAATGACTCCTTAGCATCCCTTACCGTTAGCCAGTCGTTTCAACGACTCAGCTTCGTTGAATCCATCGCTGGAATTCAAGCCAACAACCCTTCGATCATCGATGTTCCCCTCATCAAAGCTTACCAGGTATCACAGATTTTTCAACTCTCCTATTAGAATTGAATAAACAACATGTCTCAAACTTAATCTACGACATTGATTTATTGATTGGTGTTTTTATTCCAGGCAGTGGTGTCAAGCTTAGGGGAAAACAATTTGATGGTCATACTTGACAACCACATCAGCAAACTCGGTTGGTGCTGCAATAATTTAGACGACAACGGTTTCTTCGGTGACAAGTACTTCAACCCGGATCAATGGATCACCGGGCTGACTCAGATGGCCACCTTATTCAACGGTGTCACCAACGTGGTCGGCATGAGCTTGAGGAACGAGCTAAGAGGCCCGAAACAGAACGTCAACGACTGGTACAAGTACATGCAGAAAGGAGCCGAAGCAGTGCACTCGGCAAACCCGGATGTCCTCGTTATACTTTCTGGATTTGATTTCGACAGAGACTTGTCATTCATCAAGAGTCAATCCATAAAACTCACCAGTGGGAAACTAGTATTCGAGGCGCAATGGTATGGATTCTCTGATGGGCCGCGAAAATGGGTGACCGGAAACCCAAACGAAGTTTGTGGCAGAGTTGCGACTTATATGTTGAAGACGTCTGGGTATTTGGTTGATCAAGGACACCCGTTGTTCATTAGCGAGTTCGGGATCGACCAAACAGGAGCCAATGTCAATGGCAATAGGTACTTGAGCTGCTTCTTGGGCGTGGCAGCTGAGCTTGACCTGGATTGGGCCTTGTGGACACTCACCGGGAGCTACTATGTGAGAGCAGGAGTTGTCGGGTTAAACGAGTACTACGGAGTCTTGGATTATAACTGGTGTGCACCCAGAAATTCGAGCTTCATTCAAAGAATTTCAGCTCTCCAAGCTCCTTTCCGAGGTAAGTCGACGTATATTAGTTTCTTTTTATTTGAGATTGATGATGTCAACCGAAATTTTGATGCAAATCTTTTGTTTTTCCGCAACGACATATGTAGGTCCAGGTTTGTCGGAAGCCAAACCGCACAATGTTATCTTCCACCCCTTAACGGGGCTCTGTATCACAAGGAAACCATTCGCCCACCGGTTGCGGTTAGGTCCCTGCTCCGAGTCCTATGCTTGGAGTTATTCCCCCCATAAGACTTTACTAGCAACAAGGACGCATTTATGTTTACAAGCAGGTGAATCCGGGACATCGGCAAAGCTCGGCATCTTCTGCACCGGCTCGAATTCGAAGTGGGAGATGATATCGGATTCCAAGATGCATCTCTCGGCTAAACTCAGGGATGGCAAATCCGTTTGTCTCGACGTAGCGTCGGACAACACTATCATCACAAGCAGCTGCAAATGTATAAATAACGACAACACATGTGACCCTTCGAGCCAATGGTTCAAACTCGTGGATAGCACAAGGAGCAGCTCAAGCGTTTAGTTTTATCGACCGTTTGATTTTAGTTTTATCCGTTTCGGAATGTATAGGAATTAGATAGGCAGCGATCATAGAAAATCCAGTTAATTTTATCAATAAAGGCAATTGTTTTCTCTTTTACATAGATTAATCAAAACTCAAGCAACTTCACCTGAATAAATCAAACGACGAAGAAAATAATTCGAGCCAAATCGAATTTTATTCAAGTGTACATGACCAAGATTTTTATGCCTCGTGGTATATGTTACAAACCTGTGTTCAAATCATTCAATATTTCAGTCATAATCTCTTTCGGTAATGGAGCAGAGGGACCTTCCTTGGAGTCAAAACTGGCCAAAGGACTTTCCGAGCTCGATATACGATTCCTTGCGAACCCCCCTCCGATTACTCAAATAGTCTCGGATCGACTCTTTTGCGGACTCCGCCGTTCGTCTAAACTTAGCGGCATCTTTGTTTAAATATATAAACGATAATGGAGGCATGTCCGAGAAACATATATGCACAAAATTTGATGTTAATGGAAGCTTGATTCTGTTTCAAGTCTACCATTTTTTATGTCTGTGGGCTTGTGATCTATATCTTCCTTCTCAATGGCATAATTGTGTGGCAATACTGTTGTGTTTGTGCTATCCAAACTGATGCGATTTGCGATGATAATACACAGGAAGGGGAAATGATGAAAGCTGCAGTGTACCCTGAACTAGCTACACGTTCATCAGGTTAAACGGCTGCAACTCGTGTCAAGAATGTAATCCTTGGACAACTACCGGGACGTTCTCGTGACATTCTTGCCGACAATTGGCGTGCTTTGACTTCATATCGACCCTGACTATTTACCGAACTTTCTCGTGTAATCCTGTAACCTTGCTTGTTTCGATACTTGGGTAGGAGGATTTGGACTCTAAAGTTACCTTTTATAGAAAGGTTTGGCTACTCTGGGCTACCACCATTGCGTTTTTGCCTCAACCATGTTTGTTCATCAGGTCACCCATTTCAGTTTCCGGTATAATAGTAGTTTAAATGCTATTAATTGATTCAATTATTTAGAATTCAATATCATATTATGATTAAGCAAGAGTTTAAACGTGTCACAAAGGTTCAAGGGCAGTACTTCATGGAGAGCAAGCGGATACAAATATTCATGCGTGTTTAGTAATGTTAAGCCAATGGCTTGGTTATTTGATGTTTTCGAACGTTTTGCAGGCTGCAGTGATCAACTCAAAGCTTCGTGATCATCCTTGAGCTCCAGATCAGTTGTACTCCGAGGAAACATCGATGGCCGTGAGCAGTCAAAGAAGCCGTGTTGTTGCATTGCAGAGAGCAAGGGTGGGTTAGCTTCAAAAGCCACGCTTTTATCGACCAAGACGTAAAGCTACTATTTCGTGATGTTTTCCCCGTTTCCAAGTAACGTTTTCGATTGCAAGCGAAAGCGGCGACAAGAAATCTTATTATTGCAAGAGTGGGGGCGTAATGACCCAAGCCGGGCTATCTATTTCGAGCATTTTGTTTAGCATGCAAACCTATCACCCGAGCCGGGCTATCCATTTAGCACATTTTTGTTTAACATTCAATCCCATCACGATAGCGAACGGTGTCGTAAGGGAGCATTGGGTCGACATTTTTAGACTAGATAAAACGGTAGTTTAACAACGGCGGACGACTTCATAATCAATCGGAAAAAGATTGTATTGGAAACTTAATTGATGAGCCACATGCCTCAGACCACGACTACCATCAATGTAAGCAAGAGAACGTATTACCAGGCCCCCTCCCTAGGAGCGAAACTGATTCGGAAATTCCACTGAAATTAACAACAATATATGTCATCTTATTCTACAATTTTTGCCATCATTTCTTATGCATTGTTCTTCTCGTTTATTTTGGAATGGTTTTTTGTTTGAAGCAAGATGATTAAGCTACGGATTTTCTGGTACGATATGAAATCCCTGTCGAACAAAAAATAAAACACGCCCTCTTTTATCCGGTTAGTAGTGAAGTAAAGTGCAAAACCAAATTAATATTTTATTCCAAGTAATCACAAAGGTGGTCGGAGTTGAACTGTGTACTTATCCCGTTTTGGGATGTCCAAATCAATATTTTATGATTACAGATAATATATCTTAATAAATAAATATGTTAGAGTTTAATTAGAATAGGGCTGTGCTTTTGTAATTACAAATAATTAACAAGTGTATTTAGAATAGGTCTCTACTTTTACACCACTATATAAACAAGCCACCCAAGTAACTTCTCCTTCAAAGTCCCAAGTAACTTCTCCTTCAACGTCTACTCTCCTTCAAAGTCAAAACAAAAGCAGCATGGCAAGTTTTGTTTCCTCGGCTATTCTCCTCCTCTTCATGTTCTTTCCCATCGTCATTCCCCTGCCCCTATCAACGAATTCACGTTGGATTGTTGATGAGGGAGGACGACGTGTGAAGTTGGCGTGCGTGAACTGGTCTGCTCACTCGGAACTGATGGTTGCCGAAGGGCTCAGCAAGCAGCCTATGGATACGATCGCCAAACGGTTGCTGCTGCAATAATTTAGACGACAACGGTTTCTTCGGTGACAAGTACTTCAACCCGGATCAATGGATCACCGGGGTGACTCCGATGGCCACCTTATTCAACGGTGTCACCAACGAAAATGGATGACCGGAAACACAAACGAAGTTTGTGGCAGAGTTGCGACTTTTATGTTGAAGACGTCTGGGTATTTGGTTGATCAAAAATACCCGTTGTTCATTAGCGAGTTCGGGATCGACCAAACAGGAGCCAATGTCAACGAAAATAGGTACTTGAGCTGCTTCTTGGGCGTGGCAGCTGAGCTTGACCTGGATTGGGCCTTGTGGACATTCACCGAGAGATACTATGTGAGAGCAGGAGTTGTCGGGTTAAACGAGTACTACGAAGTCTTGGATTATAACTGGTGTGCACCCAGAAATTCGAGCTTCATTCAAAGAATTTCAGTTCTCCAAGCTCCTTTCCGAGGTAAATCGACGTATATTAGTTTCTTTTTATTCGAGATTGATGATGTCAACCGAAATTTTGATGCAAATCTTTTGTTATTCCGCTACGACATATGCAGGTCCAGGTTTATCGGAAGCCAAACTGCACAATGTTATCTTCCACCCCTTAACGGGGCTCTGTATCACAAGGAAACCATTCGCCCACTGGTTGCGGTTAGGTCCCTGCTCCGAGTCCTACGCTTGGAGTTATTCCCCCCATAAGACTTTACTAGCAACAAGGATGCATTTATGTTTACAAGCTGGAGAATCCGGGACATCGGCGAAGATCAGCATCTTCTGCACCGGCTCGAATTCGAAATGGAGATGATATCGGATTCCAAGATGCATCTCTCGACTAAACTCAGGGTTGGCAAATCCGTTTGTCTCGACGTAGCGTCGGACAACACTATCATCACAAGTACCTACAAATGTATAAATAAAGACAACACATGTGACCCTTCGAGCCAATGGTTCAAACTCGTCGATAGCACAAGGAGCAGCTCAAGCGTTTAGTTTTATCGACCGTCTGGTTTTAGTTTTATCCGTTTCGGAATGTATAGGAATTAGATAGGCAGCGATTATAGAAAATCCAGTTAATTTTATCAATAAAGGCAATTGTTTTCTCTTTTACATAGATTAATCAAAACTCAAGCAACTTCACCTGAATAAATCAAACGACGAAGAAAATAATTTGAGCCAAATCGAATTTTATTCAAGTGTACACTGTTGGGGAAATCGGGTTATTTCCCACACGAAGGTCGTTTCAAAATTGATCTAAAATGTCAATATCAAAACCACCAAAGGTTGCACAGCGAATAAACCTGTCAAACTATTGAATATTGAAACATAATGGAAAAAACCGAATAAAAACAATAAAGGAGAGAACACACCAAATTTATGAGGTTCGGCGAGAATATTGTCTACTCCTCGGGCACCACACCAGATGATAAATTCACTATATCACCAATATTACAACAAATGGAATTCTTTAGAATTCCCAAAGTGGGAGAATAAAGAATACAAGAGGAAGAGAGAACTTGTTTTGGGATGATTTCTAATGAAATATTTAGGCCTATATATAGTTGAGTTTTAAGGAGTAAACTTATAAATAACCTAATATTTTATGGATCAAACATGAAAAAAAAGTTGGCCACCTACCAAAGAATTTTCCGATGTGTACAAGTTAGCCACCAAATATGAAATTCCCAATAAGTTGGCCACCAACCAAGATGAAATTTCCAATAAGTTGGCCACCAACCAAGATGAAATTTCCAACTTGCCAACTTAATTCCAAGCCAAATCTAACAAATCTCCACCTTGGCTTGAAATTACCAAGCCTACTCAACTTCTTCAACTCCCCAAATTTGTAGTGCCTCTAATTGCGCTCACAAGCGCTACACACTCGAAGGTGTTCATACTTTTAGGATGTTAATCAAGTTCAAACAATGATTGAACTTGATTACTGTTACCACCTTGGTCATCATATCTGCAGGATTTTCCGATGTCGCAATTTTCTGAAGTAGAATCTTTCCTTCTTCAAAGATCTCCCACACAAAGTGATACCTCACGTCGATATGCTTAGTCCTTTAATGGTAGACTTGATTTTTCGCTATGTGAATAGCGCTCTAACTGTCACAATAGAAACTAATGTGACTTTGAACAACTCCCAAGTCTTCCATCAACCCGTTAAGCCAAATTGCTTCCTTTACAGCCTCTGAAACTGCCATGTATTTTGCCTCTTTAGTAGACAAGGCCACCGTAGATTGCAATGTAGACTTCCAACTTACTGGGGCTTTACCAAGAGTAAACAAATACCCAGTAGTTGATCGACGCTTATCCAAATCACCAGCATATCCAACCATACACTGACCAAGTGCTTCATCCTGTTCAAAAACTAAACCAACATCCATGGTTTATTGGAGATACCGTAGAATCCATTTCAAAGGTTGCCAATGTCCTTCTCCAGGATCATGCATGTACCTACTCACAACTCCAACTACTTGTGAAAAGTCAAGACGCGTACACACCATTGCATACATCAAGCTCCCAACTGCATTAGAATATGAAACTTTTGCCATATACTCTTGTTCTTTGTTAGTTTTAGGAGATAATTGAGAACTAAGTTTCAAATAAGAAACCAGTGGAATACTTACATGTTTGGTATTTTCATTCATGCCAAAACATTGTAATACCTTTCTAAAATACCGCTTCTGTGTTAAACAAAGCTTCCCTCTCTGTCTATCTCAGCTTATCTCCATACCAAGAATCTTCTTGGCCTCACCTAGATCTTTTATCTCAAACTCTTGATTCAACTGAGCCTTTAATTTATCTATCTCCTTTTGACTCTTCGAAACGATCAACATATCGTCAACGTAAAAGAGAAGATAAATGAAAGATCCATCTTTGAGCTTTTACAAATACACACAATGATCATATTTGCTTCTAGTGTACTTTTACCTCCTCATAAAGCTATCAAATCGCTTGTACCACTGCCTCGGAGATTGCTTCAATCCATAGAGCGATTTGTTCAGCTTACAAACCCATTTCTCACAACCACCATCTTTGTATCCTTCTGGCTGAGTCATATAGATCTCCTCTTCTAAATCACCATGCAAGAAAGTCGTCTGTACATCAAGTTGAGCTAGCTCCAAATTCAACTGTGCTACCAAGGCCAACAATATTCTAATGGAGGAATGCGTCACAACAGGGGAAAATACTTCATTGTAGTCGATTCCCTCCTTTTGAGCGTAGCCTTTAGCTACCAACCGTGTCTTGTAGCGAACATCTTTCTTGCTATGAGATCCATCTTTCTTTGCAAATACCCACTTGCATCCAATTGATCTTTTACCTTTCGGTAATTGAGCTAGTTTCCAAGTGTTGTTCTTTTGGAGAAATTGCATTTCTTCATCTATGGCACTTTTCCACTTATCACTTTCCAAGCTTTGTATTACTTCTTGGTAAGTGATAGGGATATCATCATCAACAACTGGAAGAGCATAGGCCACCATATCATTAAATTGAGCATGTCTACGAATTTCTCTCCTTGGTCTTGTAACTATAAGTGGTTTTGGTGTCTCCAATGGTTCTTGGGTTTGAACCTCTTCATCTTCTGATTCTTCTATTGGAGTTGAAGAATCAGCTACATCAACTTATGGGATCATTGTCTGCTGAAACTCCACCTGTTTTGGAGTATGCTCCACCTGCTGCAGAGTACTACTTGTCTAGACAGCTTCATTTGTTACCTTCTTTACTAGACAGATTCATCAAAGGTAACATCTCTGCTACAAATATCTTCTTAGTGTCTAAACACCAAAGGTGGAATCCCTTCACTCCATGGGTGATTCCCATAAAGAGAGCCTTCTTTGTTCTCGGATCAAGCTTGGATTCCTTCACATGATAATAAACAGTGGATCCAAATACATGAAAGGAATCATAATCAGTAGCAGGTTTTCCAGACCATACCTCCAATGGTGTTTTTCCTCCTATTACTGATGACGGTAGAAGATTGATGAGATGGCCAGTATTTGTCACAGCCTCGGCCCAAAATGTCTTGCCTAACCCAGTATTAGACAACATACATCGAACTTTCTCTAATAGTGTTCGATTCATACGCTCTCCCACCCACATTCTGTTGTGGTGTATTTCTAACAGTGAAATGTCGAACAATACCATACTCATGGCAAACATCAAAGAATGGGTCACTTTTATATTCCCCTCCATTGTCCGTCCTAAGACGTTTGATCTTTCTACCAGTCTGGTTCTCGATCATATTTTTCCATTTCAGGAAAATTCGAAGCACTTCATCGGATACACCCAAACTCTTCTGGAAAAGTCATCTACAAAACGTACAAAATAATGATTTCCTCCCAAAGACGATGTCTTTGAAGGACCCCATACATCTGAGTGAATATAATCCACAATACCTTTTGTATTATGTATAGTGGTGCCAAACTTCACTCTCTTATGCTTTCCTATAACACAATGCTTGCAAAAGTTCAATTTGCAAGCCTTTGCACCTTTTAACAATCATTTCTTTGCCAGGATTTGCAAGAATTTTTCTCTAGCATGTCTCAACCGCATATGCCACAACTGGGTTGCATCCAAATCATCACCTCCGGAAGCTGCTGCAACTGCTCCAATAATTGTACTACCTTGGTAGTAATACAAATTATTTTTCCTGATGCCCTTCATCATCACAAGTGCGCCATATGTGACTTTTAAAACTCCATCTCTTATAGTGACTACTGAGCCTTTGGATTCCAAGGCTCCCAACGAGATGATATTTTTCTTCAAACTAGGCACGTATAGGACATCCGTCAGAACTCTGGTTGATCCATCTTGATTTTTCAATCAAATTAAACCTATCCCAACAGTTTTATAGGTATTGTCATTGCCCATATAAATAACTCCTGCATTTAGTTCTACTAAATCAGAGAACCACTCCCGATTAGGGGACATATGATAGGTGCAACCTGAATCTAATATCCATTCATCTGAATGGAATATTGTTGATGAAGCAATCAATGATATGTCAGAGTCATTTTCATCATGCTCTGCAACACATGCATCTAGAGCAGTTTTTCCTTTCTTCTTCATCTTTGGACAATCTTTCTTCCAATGTTCTTTCTCATGACAAAAGGCACATTCATCTTTTCCTAGTCTAGACTTCGACTTTGATCTGCCTCTCCACTTTGGCTTTTGACTTTTTGAGTGACCTCTTGCCACCATGGCCTCCGTTGCTTCGTACTTACTCTCCTTCTTGGTTTTCTTCCTGAGCTCATAACTATACAAAGCAACAGTTACATCTTTAAGGGTAACATTATCCTTACCATGAAGTAACATTGTCTCAAGGTGCTCAAATTTATCTGGAAGAGATGACAAAAATGTCAAGGCCAAATATTCATCTTTGAAGGTTTCATTCATGCCCAATAAGTCTGCCACTAGCTCATTGAACCCAGTGATGTGTTCATTCATACTGGTGTCTGGTTGATAATCAAATCTGAACAATATTTTCTTCATGTGGAGACGATTCTGAGAGCTTTTCTTTAGGAATTTTTCCTCTAATGCTTTCCACATCTTACTTGCAGAAGTCTCATTCTTGTAGCCATACTTCTGCTCCCTGGAAAGACAAGATCAAATCGTGTTGCATGCCAAACGATTGATTGTTCCCCATTCTTTCTCCTTCATATATTTGGGCTTTTCTTCCTCAATGGCGATGTCTAGACCTTGTTGGAATAAAGCGTCTAACACCTCGCCTTGCCACATGCCAAAATGACCGGATCCATTGAACAACTCCACCGAGAAATTTGCATTTGACATCATCCTCCT